ATTGCATTAATGCATCACCTTAACTTTTTTAATTTATATTCGGTCAATATTTCACACAGTTTATATGTGGCCAATCGATATTTGTTAATTTGAAAATTTCATGAAGAACAATTAATGTAGTATTGTTCTTGTACGGTTTATTTAATAAAGTTTATATGTCTTGATATAGGGCTATTGACGTCGTTACACGACATCAAAGTTGATAAAATGCTCCTTGTTCTCGTCTTTAAATAGAATTCTTCTTTACTTTAATCTCAAACGAAGTATTTATTGTCTGTGAATGAAAAGATCACCTTCTTTCATTTCCTTTCCTGTTCCATTATTGCTGTCAAATAAGATTGAAAACCAATGTTTATTTTGATCTTATCTCTAGCACACACATTCTTTTATATTCACTCACGACTATTTCCACAATCCATTTATATTACCTCATTCTCTATATCTTTTTATTTGAAATTCGAAAGTCGCACTCATTAGCTTTATTAATAAACATTTTATCGTATTTTTGCACCTTCACAACTACTGAATCCAATGATTTTCGCCATTGCATCAACTAATTTGTCATTTACTCGAGTTAACTCTTCTTTTAATCCCTCCTTCATTTTTCACGTTTGAAACATATTACTTCTTCGCGTTACAGTCTATTTCATAGGATAGACGAAAATAAATGAAACACATAAGTTAAATTTTTTGATAGTGTGATTGGTCCATCTACTTCCTGTTTCTTCCTTGTAATTTCATTCTCAATGTGGACTCATAAACGCTTAAATATTCCTTAAGTGAATTTATTCCTTTCTCCTCAATTACCAAACAAGTTTTGCGCAAAGAAGTTGGGAGAAAATCTGTTCGTCTCATTTTTAAAATGAAACGAAATATAAGCGTCTTATAAGTGGGTAGTTTGCTGTCACGCCGTAAGGAATTGTATTCATTTCTCTTCATTCTACATGACTGTTCTAGCTCGCATGGATGAACATGACACTGTTATCTTGACTGCCTCCTTCTTAGATAAAATATGGAATTTAGAATACCGCTGAAATCCATACAATATTAACTATATTTTGCTCCCCTAAAGAACATCGCTGCAACAAACGCCTGTTTATACAGTGAGAATCGTACATGTGGACAAGCGTTCTTTGATATTCTAGATTGTAAACTCGGCCGGTGTTTAAAATGTTAAAGACGACTCGTCAATAGGAAAATCACTTTTTTCGAATAGCGTTGAACCATTTCTCTATTCTCCTACACACTCAAAATCTTTCTATGTAGAGCTTTTATTCTTAATAACGATTTGACATAGCAGACCTAACCCCTTACTTTTATTCTTATAGAACTCTGTTCATATTCCAGTAGAAATCGTTATTTCAAAGTACTGATTGGAAATCTCCTGGACGTTTCTTTACACCAACTTTCGATTCCCTCTGGAGCTGGAATGATTTTCAACAATAATTCCTCTTATTTGCTACTGTCTTTACCATGGTTTGTTGTAGGTAGTTTACCCTTAAGACACTGTATACTTTGATAGTCACTAAAAAAGGTTAGCAGGTTCCTCACAAGATATTCCATCCTAAATGCACTCCAACAATCTACAATGGCTTTGCCTTAATTGAAACTCCGTTAATTAGGAATCTCCTATGCAACTTTCGAAATGTCTTCTTCTTTCTCTTCTCTTTTCTTTCTTTCTTTCTGCGTTCTCTTTCTTTCTTTTCTCTGTCCTTTCTTCTTCTCTGTCTCTTTATTCTTTCCCTGTTTCTTTCTTTCTTTCTCTTTTGTTTGTTTGTTTGTTTTTTCTTTCTCTTTCTCTGTCCTTTCTTTCTTTCCTCTGGTCTCTTCTTTTCTTTCTTTCTCGTCTTTTCCTTTCTTTCGTTCTTTCTTTCTCTTCTCCTTTCTTTCTTCTCTGTCTCTCTCTCCGCACACCACACACACACACTTTTACTCTTCTCTAGACCCTCTTTCCAACTCTCCTATATTTCACATTCTTCTGCTTTTACTGTTCTCCCACCTGAATACTAGTTTTCCCGGTCTTCGTCAGTCGTCTGCCTCCGCTCTCTCTCTCTCTCTCCTGCTCTCGTCTCTCCTCTGTGTGTCTCATCTCATGTTACAAATTGTCAACACTTAACAAAACTTCGGGGAAGGGGACCTCTGCGAACACTCGCAGCTTCCGAAGACTCAACTCCCCCCGCCCGCCTTACCTCCCCAGAAAGTATAAAGCGGCTACATCTCATTACCCCTCGCCGAGGCGCCGGCACGCACTGCAGTTCAGTCCTTTTTTCTTCCGGTCAGTTTCCTGCTTCCACCCTTCGACGTCGCCCGCCCTCCACCCTTACGCAGAGCAGAGTCAGCCTAAGACGAGTGCGAAGCGGACCGTCCGGTTCCACTACCCTACCCTCCTTCGGCGTCGACTAGCCCTGCCTCCCTCGACTTTGCCTCTCCTCCCCCCTCCCCCCTTCGCTCTCTCTTCTCTCTCTCTCTCTCTGAACGGAAATATGTGAGGCCAAGGCGGCAGCGGAACCCTTACCGCACCTTCGGCCTCCACCCAAACGCAGGCCCGCCCACGTTCTTCTGATATGTTTGGCAAGACAGCGCACACCCGCCCCTCCGGCCCGTTCCGGCCCCGCCCAGCACCGCCTCACCCTCCCCCCCCCCGCGTCGCCCACGCCGGCCAGACCTGTCAGGCGGGCCCGCTACTCGCAACTTCATCGTCGCGACAACTTTTCTAATTAGATGCGAGACGAAGAGAGGTACGCGCGGGAAAAGTACACAGGCAAATTAAATGTTGGCCTTTTGGCAAAGTGCTGGTGAAATGCAGAAAGGAAGCAGGGCGCTTCGGTCGTTGGCGGTGCACATCAAAATCATTCGGGTTCTGCGGACGCAGGGAACGGTACCTCGCCCGGCGGGACTTGGCCCGGCGCGGCAGGCGGACTTCAGCTTCTCGCTCTCAGAAATGAAATGCACACTTAATTAGAACTGAGCGGTGGAATTTTCAAGATGGGTAACGAAGGGAGCGAAATTACCGAGTTGTCTTTAGAGTTCCTGATGAAATGACTTAATAGATTTCCAGAATTCCTCTTGTTAGTAAGATACTTTTTGGTTTTCTTTTGCGGATGTCCCTTTCCGTTCTTTGTCGCCCAACCCTAGAGACCCTAAAAGAAACTTACATTTAGCCTTTCATTAAATATATTTTATGTATGTTAGTATTAAACGTATCTGCTGCAGTTGAGCCTTCCTTTACGTACGGATACTGAATATTCGCATCTATTTAAGTATTTAATTATTTAAATTTTAAAATAACTTATTGGTACAAAATTTCTTAGGTCTGCTTTACTCAATAGAATTTATCTGAATAATTCTGTACCGCTACAATATTTCAAAAAGATTTTAAATAATTTCCAAAGAATTAATTTGTAAATGCATATCAAAAGCTCCAATGTAATAAACGAACATTGAAAAATATGAAATAATATACCCATCTAACTTACGTAGCATCCAACTGCCTCAAAACACATCTAAAATTACGTTCACGAAGATCCGTAAATTCGAAGCGGGAAACTTTGTAGCCAAATTACGTAAAAATTACTCATATTTTTCAAAAAGAACAAAAAAGTCAATGTGACCTTATTCAAAGATCTGTTTAAGAAAAGAAAATTGTATCTCCAAGATTGAACTTGCTGTAATACACCGAATAAAGTTGTGGACCATTCTTTAATGAGTCATTTGCGCTATCTAAAGGCTAATTTAATAAAAAAATGTTGAGCTTTTTTATGAAAAAAAAATGGTTTGAAGAAAATACAAATTGTCTGTGTTTGACCCAAAACTTTGCAAAAAATACTCATGCTTTTGATAAATTGAACTTGACATTATTTTTAGATCCGTTTTTCATGTACATATTTCATTATAAAAGGTTTCATTTTCGTAATTATAGTTGTGGGAGGACGCCGAAAAAATGTTGAATTTTTTTAATGTTCGAAAAATCAGGGTTTTCCACGAATATGAAATCTGCGCCATTCTCTTTACAGTTCTCTCAGTATTCAATAACAAAGTTTAACCAAAAACGTTGAAGCCATTTTTTTTAGATTTTTGAAAATGTCCCAGAGGTTTCATGTAAAGTACCCCCAAAATTAAAATATCGGTTTCAAATTCTAGGGACCGCGACATCAGCGATCAGATTGGAATCAGCCAGAAGGACGGACAGACGTCATGCGTCAACGGAATTTTCGGTATGAAGGATCCACAAAACGTGGATTCTGGCTACATAACGTGTTAGAGGATTATTTTTCTAATTTTCGCATTTGAATTTGTATATTTCGTCGTTACCAGAGCCCCGTTGTAAGGACGTTTCTAATGAAAATTCACCGTTTTTGCGCGCTGCATTACATTACTTTCTCTGTACAGAGAAAGTAAAAGGAATCATTAAAAATGTTCATAAGGTATGATGTTTCAAATTATGCTCTGTGTTTGAAAGGAAAAACGTGCATATCAGATGAATTAATTGAAATAAAATTTTAAAAAACTAATTTTTGTCATTGTGAATCCAACTAGTAATCCTAACCCAACTACTAATCATGATTAAATTCAGATATAGTATACCACGAATAATTTTAAGACTCAGACAAGTGCCTCAAGTATGTTCAAAACTTGATTTCCCCACTTTTTAACCTATCAGTTTGGGGAAGTGATTCTCTAAGTCATCAGGAAACCCTATAGATCAATCTGCTTAAAATCAATTGTATAATCCAATTTTTTTTTTAAATAAAATACTAAGTCTTAGAAATAATAAAGATTAATGGTAAAGGGGCTCAAAAATGTAGTTGAACTTCAATCTTGTTTTAGGCAGTACACTTCTGTGTTTACCTAAACAAGACATATGTTAATAATAAAATTTTGTTTTTGAGATCAATTTTGCTTTTTAATGTTGTTCTTTGTGACCTATCTTGTGAGAGTAAGCTAATAGGAGTTTTAAAATTTATGTGTTAACTTTTTAATCAATTTACATGATTTTTTAGGGCGTATAACTCAACCCGAATATATCGAGAGTTAAAATTGCGAAGTGCCATTGTGCAGAATAAGAAATTAAAAATACTTCCTCTTGAACAGGTTGTTAACACCATAAATGGTGTTTGGAATCTATCTAGTGATCAGGTTTGTATCTTAAATATAGATTTGCAAAGACAAGTTGTAATGTTAGAAACTGTTAATGATTTAATTAGAACATTTTCTGTAGTTAACTTGAACCAATCAATTTTGTTTTAAAATGAACATTGAAATTGCATTGAAATAAATTGAATAGGAGAGCTCACTTTTATACAATGCAAATACTCATTAAAATAAAAAATTTACCGTAGTTACCATCTGAGATTATAAGACTCCTTTCTCTGTGAAGTCCAGGAGTAAACATTTAATACTTGTTTTACAGATGACTGTTTTAAAAAACTAGACTCTGTATATTTGTAATATAGATATTCATACTAGTAACTTTCTTGAAAGATTTCTCAAATTGAGTTGAAACATGTTATGTTTAACCAAGAATTTTTATACATTTTCTAATTAATATTTTATATAAATTTCATGGTAATATGAATTTAAAGGAAGCTTTAAGAAGTAAAATCTGATTTAGTAAAGTGCTGATAGCAACTTAAAGGAAAAGTTGGACATTTCGCACTACAAAATTCAAGTTATAACATTTAAACTACTATTTATTTATGATAAAGTTATTTTTCTTTCATCAAATTTTGATTTAAATATTTGTGATATGTTTTCAGGGAAACCTGGGTACATTTATTATAACTAATGTTCGACTTGTGTGGTTTGCGGATATGAATGAGAACTTCAATATCTCTCTTCCTTACCTGCAAATAACACACGTAGGTATTCTTCAGGTTATATTATTTGCATTTTATTAAGTCTTTAAAAAAAAGCCGTGAATAACTGCATGTTGTATCAAGGAGAGTAGTACATGTTTTTCATTTTCTTGTCATTTTTACTAAGTATGTATCTAATTGCAGATCAGAATCAGACAATCTAAATTTGGTACTGCTTTGGTAGTGGAAAGTGCAGAAGGTAGTGGAGGATATGTACTTGGTTTTCGGGTTGATCCAGCTGACAAATTACAAGATGTTTGTAAACAATTATCATCGCTACAAAAAGTTTATAGTCAAAATCCGATTTTTGGAGTGCAGTATGTATTAGATCAGGTAAAAACATTCACCAATTGCATTAAGAAAAAAATGCATTTTGTGTTATGAAGTGAAGGAATTAAAAAGTAGAAAAAAAGGAAGTTGGCTCCAAAGAATTTTGATTTTTGAGTATTAACATTAATAACATTCTATGGTTTTCTTACAGATTTAAAAATAAGAAATCTTACATTTTTCATGTAATTTGTTTTTCTAGCAACGTGCAGTTCCAGAGGGAACTCAGGTTTTTACTGATGATGTTGAAGAATTTGATGAGTCCAGTGATGTAATGTCCAATGCATTTGTAGCATATTTTGCTGATGGAAATTTTACCCAGGACCAAGAACCTGAATATTGCAGTGATATTGGGCTAGCTATAGAGAAACCTAAGGAAGGTTACACTCTTCAAAGTTTGTGGGATATAATTCCTTTGTAAGACACCAAATGTTCTTAAGACTTTTAATAATGCATTTATTATCTACTACAACTGTTTACCCGAAAGAATTTTCAGTGTTGTATCCATTATAAAATTCAAATGGAAAACCCACTTCGAAAAAAATTCCAGTTGAAGTAAGTGAATTTTGGGCTCCTTTGGATCACTTTTGAAAATTTCGAAACTCACCTCTAACTACAAGAACAAAAAATGAAAAAACCCTAATTTTGCAAAACTTGAAATCATTTGCGCCATAATTTTGAGCTAATTTTGGTCTCTTTCGTGATATAACGTTTTTTTTTGCAACCCCATAACTCGCTGAAATGATGGTTTCAAAAATGGGGGTGGTAAAGTTAAGCACACCCACCCACTCAAAATTCAAAAAAAAAAAAATTGTAAGGTCGATGCATGTAAATTTTGAGCTCCTTTGGGACACTTTCCAAAATTTTCAAAATATCTCCAAAGTTCGAGTACATTCGAGTACATAATCACCCCAATTTCTCAAAATTAAAAAAATCATGTGCCATAATTTTGGTTCTTTAGTTACACCAAAAACATGTTTTCTGCTACATTACAACGCATCGAAATCAACTTTGCAAAAATGACGATGGAGAAGCTAGCACCCTACTTGCTGAAAACAAGGAAATCTGAAGAGGGATATATATATATATATATATATATATATATATATATATATATATATATATATATATATATATATATATATAGCGAGAGAGAGAGAGAGCGAGGGAGAGGGAGAGAGACACACACACATTGGGTGTTAGTATATACCATTCTATATTTTACCGCAAAGTTGCAGATCAGTATATTTTTATTTATTAAAGTTAGATTTTTCAAAAAGGAACATAAAATAGTTATTTAAACATGCATTGGCGACTTCAATATAAAATATCCAGAAAAACAAAAAGTGGAAACAGAATAATGCCAAGTATAGAATCCAAACTAACGGCATTTGTTTCAAACTACCCTTTATAGTTTAAAACACGTGAAACAGACTACTATTGTTCCAAAAAAAGGACAAATAGACTCAATTCTATCCATTAGAAGTAATGGCAAAATCACAGCTAATGTTAGTCTTACTGTATTCTTTAATATTCTTCATACAAATTCCAAGGTTCAGCACGAACATTTACAATAACTCTAAACTTGAATAAATTCAACATAGCAAAAAAAGAAATTCGATATGGCAAAAAATAATCAAGATTCTTTCATTTTTCCTAATAATGGACAATTCTCAGGTAAACTATATATTAGATTTTTTTCAACTTTTCATTCATCAGTAAATAAAGTAAAATTATTAACAAAAGTAAATAAGGAATTTACTAATAATTGTACACATTAGCACGTAAGGTGGGACTCTGAAATAATTTTTGGCTTGTCATGGTTTTTTAAGTGAAAAATAATCAAAACCACCCCAAACTTTTTACCGATCTTCTGTTTTTGCGTTATATAAACTAAAGTACGCGAATCTCGGTACCAGCAATCTAACATCATAAAAAAACGCATTGAAAGGAACAGGACAATTCAAAAATATAATTTTGGACTTCTCTGCTTTCTTCCCAAAAAGACAAATTATTGTGCGATCTATATTAGAATTTTGCACTTTTTTATGTTTCACTAAATAAAAATACTTAACGAAAAGAAATACAAAATGTATTCGTAATTGTAAATTAATTGGCAAATACAATGTGACACTCAAATAATTTTGGGCTTGTCTTCTTATTAGAGAAAGGGATACTAATCAAATCAAACCCAATTTCTTTCCGACCTTCAATATTTGCTTATTAATAAAACCTAAACTGCACAATGGCAATTTTCAGTAGTTTTGTTCAGCAACACAGAATTGTGATAAATAACTATCCCTGAGCGAGGCTCGAAGAAGCTGACATTGCCAACGAAGCACTGATGCAATTCACAGCATTTAACCAACCTCGGCCACCGGGGTAGGAACAAGGGGAGGCACTCTCATAATAGTCATAGGAGCTTCTTGTTTCGGTTGCAGCGGGGAAAATTAACTAAATGTTAAATAAATGTCCTTTGGGCAGAAAAAGATTGCCGCTCGGAAGACATAACTTGATGCGGTGACAAATAATTATTCTGGAGCCTTTCGCAACAACGGCCCATCTCCACAAACCACTGAGAGCGAACTCTTACATGTAACCACTTCGGCCACCCGGGTTTTACTGAGAATTGGCACTTCTATAATAGTCATAAGCGCCGAAAGACAACAATTGATGTGATGGTTCATACGATTTACAAATCCAACAAAAAATAAGAAAAAATGTTCAAAAGTTTAAAATTCGAAAATTACATACACTTTAAGTTTATTTATCTTGATTAATACTATTTGCGATTAGACTTCCTTCAAATAGTTTTCAAGAAAGTTTGTGGAATCCTCAATTATTTCCTGTGGCAACATAGGATTGTCATATATGATAATTCCCTCACAACACTCGAACCAGCCAACCTGCCCTCCGAAGAGCTCGACCCCTACCCGCCAATTTAGCTATGTCTACCATGCCGTTCGGACATGAAATGAATACTTCTATAATAGTAATAAGTGCTTGGTTGTTTCGGTTCTAGCATTACGGAGACGAGTAATTGAAAAAATATGAAAAAAATGTTTTTCGGGCGACAAAATGAAAACAGTCGTGAACAGAATGAGGCATGTCGCAAAAATTAGTTAAGTGTAGAGAGATTAGAAAACTAACTAGGGCGAGAGAGTCTGTGCCGTTCTATAGCACCACGATATTATTTATTTATTTAAATAGCTGATTTACTACAACAAACTTTTTCTGAGAAAAAATATCTTCAATTTTGAATTTTTGAAATTCTTTTATAATATTCGAAAAAGACGCTATACCTAAAAATGGGACTAGTACAATATTTCTTACCGTCCCTTATTATATATCTGGAGAAAATTTAAAGAAAAAATTGAGATGTTTCAGAGAAATGTCTTTTTCGTTAAGTTCAAAAGTGTGAAACCTGTATATATTTCAATAATTTCAACAAGAAATTCCGCAAAAACTTCTTGTTTTTTCAAAAAATTGAACATGGCATTTTTAAAAAAGTTATTTTGTTCAATAGACTTTGCCTGAGACAAAAACCTCAATCTTCAATTTTGTTCTTTTGAATTTGTTTTTTGTAATTATGAAAAAACTGAGCAACACCCGAAACTGGGACTAGTACTACTAGCCCCGGGACTATAACCACTATCACATCTAACAAATATGACGTATGTGAAAATAATTTTTAAAAAAATTAAGCGGTTTTAAGCAAGCATTTAACCCCGTAAATTTCAAGCATAAAATACGCAAAAACTAGGAACTTTTACAAAAAAGGTACTCTTTAAAAAAGTTCATGTACAATTTTTTGAAAAAACGAGAAGTTTTTGCGGTATTTCTTGTTGAAATTATTGAAATATTTACAGGTTTCACACCAACTACGAGCCAAGAGAAAAATTGAATGAATGATACCTAAAATAAGACTGGTAAGCATTTTTATAACAAAGAATGTGGATGATGTTCTTTCCTAAGATTTGGCCGCTGAATTTGAATATGGTGTCAGTTTTTGCCTATCGGGCTCAGATTTCTTGTGACACGCAACTTCGTATCTACGAAGTGCTTGAAAATTCTGCATATTGGTTATTTTGTTGTAGATTCATTTCAGTGTTTTACAGATGTAGTTGTTCAGGAATAATCGAAATGTGTTCAAGGAATTCCGATATATGTCACTGAATTCAGAAAATTCCCCTCTAGAAAATAAAAAAAGATTTGGCAACATTCCTGATAAGTCCTATTACTCGTACAGGTAGAATCGCGGTGGGTTTCTTGTCTTCGCGATGACCCAATATTTCAAGCCTCCTGTAACTCAAATGAATCACATTTTTTGTTTCAAGGGGATCTTGATGAATTTGTTTATGATTTAAATTTGCCGAAGCATCTATCTGAGCTATAAGTTTCGCGACTAAATGTATGATATCTTCTTTCCCCCTATAAGAAAGTGTTTTTCGTGATCGCCAAATAGTTTTTCAAAATATTTTTCCCCCCAAAAAAGAAATGGCTTTTGTAATTATATCGATCCCGTTGTGGACTCTTGGCCAACATTTCAATTTAAATCTAGTGAAGCTTGTTATGAACAAGATTCTGGTAAAAGAGGTATGAAAGCACTACTTCTCCACAATGAGAAAAATTTCCTTCTGTTCCGATTGCTTATGCAATTAACTTGAAGGATGCTTGTGATGAGATACAATGAGAAATTTAAACTGCTCAGCATACATTTCAAATATAAGAAATGGAATATAATATGTGGATATCTCAAGGTAATTCTTCCTTGCCACGCAGCTCGAGTACACTGCTTCATTCCATGTAAGCGGGACAGCAGAAAAAAAAGTAAGAAAAAATGTCTTGCTCGGATTGAACTGAACGCCTGAAGAGAGAAATTTGGTTTGGTTAATTTGTGTTTCTGAAAATGCAGAACTGCGAGCTCAATTTTTCAGAATACTTTTCAGTTTTCGAGGAACATTATGAGTAGAGAGCGGATTTTTATGTAATTACATATTTTTTGTCTTTCTACTTACCAATCTGAAAATTTTAATTTTGGCGAATCGTCGCCGTCCTAACACAATATCAACATTTTTCGTTTCATATTTAGTACTACATTACATATTTTGCTATTTTCACAAAATATTTTTTTTATTCTATCAATTTTCTTCATTTTTATGACAAGAGATATTTAAAAAATCTTTATTTCCTACATCGTTACTGCGTGCTATCTACTCGAGGTCCGCTACGTGAAGACGCGGTAGGACGTTCACAAGAGTCCTGCTCGTCTGCATCAGTTTCCACAGTGGCGGGAAGTGCACGTCCGTGACTGAGATCAGTTTCACCTTGAGGTGCGTAAAGTATTACTGACGCAGTGAACTTTAACCTTATTTTCAGAGAAACATTGCCGATTGTTGACATGTAACTCTTCGCTGAGAATGCTATACGCTACAATGATAGTTTGCTGGTCGCAGATATCGCCAGCTTGGATGTTTATATATTGTGTCTAGTCTGGCTGCTAAACAACCGTACTGAAAAGTAGTAGATGAAGGTTTTACAACTGTCGGGAAAGTTATATGGTACAAAGCATATATCAATTTGTACTCTTCAAAATATTTTTAAAACGTTTGCATCACTTTTAAAATTTACATGGTGCTTTTTTGTAAGTGTATTTTCGCATTATGTGAATGTTCGTTTTATAATTGTGTATTTTAATATTACATATTTTATCCTATTTCACATATTCATTACATATTCTTACTGTTTTCATTACATATTTATGTACATATTTGGACGTTTCATTATACATAATTTTCCAGTTTCTATTTATAAGACATTAAATAAACAAACGCAATGATGTATACAAGTCCCCGATAGTGTACTAAGTATTAAAGACGTGAGAGAAATGTCAAAAAAGTGTAAGTTTTGAAAAATAAAAAAGAATAAATCAATACGGTGTTTATGACATCTTACACAGGATAATTAGTGGCATCTCTACCAAAAGATTGAAAAAAAAATTGGAGCCATTATTGAGTAGTTATGGTTTTCAGTATTTTTTGTGTTACACATTTTTCACGCAATATTACACGAAAAC